TCATTGCAGTAGACATCGCCTATGTGGGAAATAGAAAGATGATGGTAACCAATGATGGCAATCCGGCCAGCCAGAAAAGAGGAAGACCGCCGGCGACTGGGAGTTCAGATTCAAGTGGGGACCCTGATGTAAATAATCACCATAGCATTCCAAGGCAGTCATGGGATTACAGCCAACACGGACCATAAGGCAAGAGGCGGCAGCACGTGATCCCCAAACTAGCCTTTGTAATATATGCTTCATATGGACTGTTTGGCTATCAAATTACATGTCTGTAAGAATATATATTGTAGCACTGCAACAAGTACAACAAAAATTCATATTGTACATTATATTATATAATATTACATGATATTAAATAAATAGATAAATATAAGAGCAAAACTAGCAATTTTTTTAAGGAGGGTGAGACTTTGGAAAATATTCTAATATTTAGAATATTTTTGTGCCAGATATGTTTAAAATTTTAAAGACTTCCATGTGATATTTCTATTAATTGATATTTTTAAGATTTAAGTTGTGGTATTTCTTTTATGTGATATTTCTAAGATTTAAGTACTTATTTGAGAATCTCAAAAAGTTACAAGGACCACCATGCGTTTTCCCATAATTTGAAACAAGCACTCAAGTAGGGACTATTATTTTCCCTTTTTATGAAATATTAACGACCTACTTGCCAAATTCAGGAATCGTTAATGTCTATTTTACAGCTAATCCCTTAATCATCTTCAACCTTAGAGCACAACCGGTATAGATGCCCAAAAACCACTTGATTTTTTAACCTAATATCTCCCTCATTTCTTAACCATTTTAAGTGTATAATACATCAAAAGAAAGTTTATGAAGAGATCTATCGACTCATACTAATCTCATAACATATAATGAAAGATGCAAAATTATGCAATTAACAAGGATTTAATATACATAAAATAAAATAAAATTTGTGCAAAGCATAGTAGATATAACACTTGCAATATCTTTTATATCAATTTTTTCACTTAAAGCCCTTACCAAATTTTTATTTTTGTTTTTTTACCTTAAAGATATGTTTTTTTTGTATCCCCAATTTTTATCTCCAAAAAAAATTTTTATATATTCTAATTTTTAATTTTTTCAAGTTTTGCGCGTGTGCTCTCGTACCTTTTGTTGTTTCTTCTTCTTAGTTAGTTCATATAGTATCTGTAGTCATGATTAATAAGACTTTTTCTTGTTTCTTTTTTCTCTATATTTTGTGGTGGCGTTTTTTTAAGAGTGTGACCTTTTTTTTTTTTTTTGGGTCCTTGTGGAAACTAAGATAGCGACTTTGAAATTACTTCTTAAGGCCTAAGGCCCATTATCCATATTGGAGTTATTCTGTTTGTAAACTTTGCACTCGTTAATCTTTTTGAGCAAATAAAAGACCAGCCTAGCTGCTGTGCTGAATGTGCTTTGGACCTGCAGGGCTTTTATTTGGGCCGCTTGTCTGCAAACCCATCAGCCCATTTTTTAAGATTATATCGGGTAACACGACTTCCCCCTGGGTTTCGGATAAAGATACACTTCAACCCAAATATTTGAAAAAATATACAATGTTCCCCACTCAAACTACGATCAAATTTTTTTTTTTATTAGCAAACAACGATAAAGTTTGCTCAGTACTTCCGTCGTCAATTCTAAATAATAAAGGGAATATAATAAAAAATTAATAATAAAAGGAAAATTTGCACTTACCTCGTGATTTGTTTGGGATGGATGAACTCTAATCCTTAGTTTACGGAAAATGTATATTTAACTTCGCGTAGTTCAAAAATGTGTATTTTACTCACAAATCGTTAAAATGCTCTTGACTCCCTTTGGCTTCAAAAATTAATGTGCGCTTAACTCTTAGGTATTTTTAAAATTTCTCCTTTAATGTTTAATAGACTTTAATATTTAATAGGCTTGGCGATTGTACATTTTTAAAAGTAAAATGAGTTAAATACACATTTTTGTGATTTAGAATCTACTTTGTCAAATCACACGAGAACAAATGCAGATTTAAAAGAATTGAAACTTAAGTGTACAAATTCCAAGCAACATTATGAAGATAAGCCAAGGACACTTATTCTTCTTCTTTTCCCTAAATGGTTACAATATAGGGGTAGGGGGAAAAGAAATTTTATCATGTATTGTTATAGTTCAAACCTTTGATATTAGTTAAGGTATTGGGTGCACCAACAGGCCACTAAGGCCTGATGCAAGCCACTGCAATTTTTTCTAACTTTATTTGAAATATATATATATTATTGCTTCAAAGTACACAAAACTTTGAAACTTTACATTGATCACCTCAAAAGAATATTATTGACAATGCAACCTTTGAATTTTCGTCCGCAATACTTGATCGAGAAAGAACTCATTGTTGGAAAAAGGTGACAAAAAACTTCCACAATCTAAGCTAGCGTTACTGAAAGAGCATACAAATTATAAATAAACAAGAAGGTTTTATGATTATCTCTCCCAAAGTGCATGCCATCTTACCTTCTTAAGCCCTTAGTTAGGGATGGCAATTTCCTCCACAACCTATGGAGCTTCGCAGAGATCCCCAACATGGGGATGGAGATTCTAAAAATATTCCTCTACGTGAAGCAGAAATGGAGGTATTTTTTTCCTTGTAAAATTTCGTGAGGCCCGTGGAAATCCATATAAAATAAAAAAAAGTATAAATTTATATATATTTTTATAAATATATTAACAATTAATTTTTACTTACCCAACCTAATTAGCTATCCCAATACCAATACAACCTAAATTTCACAACTCATTCTTTTTTTCAGTTTTTCCAAACCCAATTGTCAAGTCCAGGCCATTCTTTTTGTCAATCTAGTCTTCCTAAACCTAATTGCCCAACCTAATTTGCATTGGTAACCCTAGAAGGACTATACAAAATTTCAATTTCAAATTTTTTATTCCTCCTCTCCAGTCTTCTCTGTAACTCTGCACTGTAACTCTATTTCTACTCCTTAATCCTTATCTGTGATTGCCTTCAGGCTCTCACCATCATTGCCCATTGTGCAGCCATTGCAACACTGATCTTCTCCTATCTCTCACTCATACTCGACTTGATAGCTCTTCTCCAATCTCTTAACAAGTTACCAATAACTCATCTCGTTTATGCCCTTTTTCTTAATGAACTTATTGTTGGACATGTATAGCAATAGTTTATGCATTTTTTTTCCATGAATTTTGCTGATGACAGTTGTAGTTTATGTTTTTTTTTTTTAATGAACCTTTTACTGGATTTGTTGAATTTATATGGCAGCTTATGCTTTTTTTCTTTATGAACTTGTTGCTGACTTGCTGGACCTACTTAACATGTATATATTGGCTATGTATATTTATTGCTTGTTTGTTTTGTTTCAAATTTTTACTTTATATGATTATTTGAGTTGGTTTTATTCTATGGATGTGAAAACCAGTGGGGTCGAAGTAGATCCATGTTGAGTTTAATTTTGATTAACAAGCAGCAAAGCATGTGATAGTTTTATTTGGCAAGGAATCTGAATACCTGCGAGAACCTATCATTTCCCACGGGTATAGAGACGAAGGTTATTTTTGAATTTCTGAAAAAAAATCCCTGTGGGGATTCCCATACCCGCCATTAACGGGGATGGGGAGAGGATCCCCATCCCTGTGGGGACCGTTGTCATCCCTACCTTTAGCTACATATATATATATGGGGTTAGTACTTGTCCACTTTACCTCCAAAAAATTAAGAGAAAAAATGACAAAAATCACCTTAATGCATGCTTTAAAAATATGATAATTTAGTCTTTTTCAATAAAATTTTATTGAAACAACGTAGTTTTTGGATGATTTTCCTCATAATTTTTAGGAGATAAAGCTGATAGGCACTATTTCCTATATATATGTATATATATAAACCCTCATGTTTTAGTTCCTATGATATATTCCCTTTGTTATATTTTGTTGACATATTTTTTATTTAATAAAATAACGATATAATAATTTATTAATAAATTTTATATTTATT